AGGCCAATAATCTTAGGCGGCGATCTTCACGGTCTGTTGTTCTAAGGCGGCGTCCAGAGCCCCTTGCTCTTTGCGTACGGCCTTCTCGAAGCCATGCCTGACAACACCTAACCACAGTGTCTACACTTCTTTGCACTCTAACTGCAATTGCCCGAAAAGAAAGTCCAGCTTCCCGAAGTCCCTCTATACGGCCCCTATCAAACTCACTAAGTTGACGAAATCGTACAGGTCTCCGTACTCTAGGCATCGTAACCGATCGTAAAGGATGTCAAGAACCAAAATCCGCCAACGTTGATTCTTTACTGCGGCTGAAATATTCATTTTTAGAGCGTTAGTGAATTAAAAAAAAGCAGTATAAAAACCGGAATGTCCAACTGATAAGGCTGACAATTTTTTCACTTGTTATTTACAGTAAGATAAATACTCGTACATTCACCAACTTTTATTAAAATAAAACCATTTAAACTGGGTGTTCGGATTTATATGTCACTTAGTATAGTTATAACTCATTTTGAAACTTTGGTTGTACCAGAAGTAGATATCAAGTAGTTTAATTTGACGGAAAGATCCTGAGTATTTTTCAATTTTTGAAATCCACGTAAGATTCTCAATACATTACATGTATCATGTTCTATACCCAACTATGTTTTCGCGAAATATCAAATTTTGTGTACAAAATCACAAATGGAGCTCCATAAAAGCCTATTAATTTCTCGTAAATTTTTGACTTTGTTGAACGATTTTTGACTTTCTTATAGAAGAGTATCCACTTCAGAAGACATCATCCGATATTTGATAGTTAATAATACGGGGTGATCAAAAAGTTGGATGAAAACAAAATTGTAAAACATGCCAAAACTCAATTTTTTCAAATGGAAATCTTTTGTTTTTATAATCTCATCATTGAGCTATAAAAATAAGCATAGTTTTGTATAAGGTTTTAGTCCGAGGCGCGGTTTAAAAAAAATATTTCTCTGTATGATGGCATTGTTGTATTATCGACATTGTTATAAATATGTACAGAAACGGTTTTTATTTTCTTAAGTGCAAACGGTGGAAAAGATTGGAAAAACCAGGTAACCAAATTTACTTCGAAATTGGAGATGTGAAGAATAATTTTGTTTCAAAAGAAATTTATGGCGTACCGTCAATGTATGCAAAATAGGCAGGTTAAATTCCGTACGAAGGCCAATGATGCAAATTTGAAAAATGTAGTTCTTCAAAAATTTATCGTTATACATAGTACGTGTATGCCAAATTCCATTAAAATATCTACAGCGGTATTTATAGATAATATAATTATAGATCAATTATTTATTTTTGAATACATTATCACCCTGTATAACAAAAGTTAGGTCGCTTAGGATATACGTTCATATGAAGCTTTATTTTTAAAATAGACCCACAAATCACCCTTTAAATATTGACATTCAATTAGGAAATACCCTGTATACAAATCAATGTTACACTGCAATTACCTGTAACTGCACCATTTGACGAGATGTGGGATACTTTAGATTCAAAATTAATTTTGGATTCGCTCTACTCGGTGCTGTTTCTTTGTGTAAGATGGCCTTTAACCGTGGGATAATGCCGTCTCTGCGGAGACATCAATTTTAACGAGGTATATCTGCGGTGAGTAAAGTGCACAGATTTATTCTTATTAATGGCGTGATTACCCCGGAAAAACATGGCGGAATTTGTTTCCCAGATTTTAAGTATAATTAAAAGGGGGATTTAAAAGATGCTCGAGAGACGTCATTCGGTGCATCCCTCCAGTAATGTTAGTCGTTTTTTGCAATTTGCTAAAAGCAAGAGAATTGTTCAGCGGCTGAAGTTCAAATTAAAAAGCAAAACTTGCATAGAAAATACATGAAAGTCTCACAACATTGTGTTATGACTTGTTACAGAACAAGAAGCGTCCTATCGCTCATCCGGTTTCGTCGGATGGCCGAGTTCTACCAAAGTGCTATTCAGATCGGCTGGTCGGAGTTCACATCAGAGATCAGCGGTTGGGAAAAAGCTAGTGCTGGGGCTATATTTGCTCTTATAACGTTGCTTGCTCCTTCTACTTAGTCTAAATTCGTTGAGGCAGTGAGAAAGTGCACATTTGTAAAGTGTGTCATCGATGTCATCGCGACATTTCAAAACTTGTAATATTGATCACTACTTTGTCTGTCTTAGAAAAACTTCGCTTCGGATAAACTGAATCCGTGTTAAACGCCATATAACGGGTGATTTTTTAAGAGGTATAGGATTTTATTTTAAAAAAAAACACAGAAAATTTGAAAAAACGATTAAATCTTTATTTGAGTCGATAGAATGGTCGATATAATTTAATGTTTAAATATTATTTCATGGAAATGATGGCCGCGGCTCCACTTTAGATGGCCCATGCGCAAGGTCCAATTTTGGCATACTCTTTTCAACATATCGGCCGGTATCTCACGAATAAATGCTTCAATATAGGCTTCCAGTACGTTAATCGTTGCTAGTTTATCCCTGTAGATATTAGCCTTAACATGGCCCCACAAGAACTAGTCCAACGGCGTTAAATCACACGATCTAGGCGACCAATTGACGGGCCCCAAACGTTAGATAAACTGTTCACCGAACTCACCTCTCATTGGGGCCATTGTTTCGTGTGCGGTGTGGCATGTGGCACCGTCTTGTTGAAACCACATGTCAGCCAAGTCCAGCTCTTCCATTTTGGGCAAAAAAAAGTTTTTTTATCATCGCACGGTAGCGCTCGCCACTCACAGTTACGTTCCGGCCATTGTCGTCTTTGAAGAAGTACGGCCCGATGATGCCACCGGCCCATAATCCACACCAAACAGTGATTTTTTCGGGATGCATTGGTAGCTCTTGCAATACTTCTGGCTGGTCTTCACTCCAGATGCGGCAATTTTGCTTGTTAACGTACCCATTCAACCAGAAATGAGCTTCGTCGCTGAACACAATTTTTCGATAAAAATGTGGATCTTCCTCCAACTTTGCCAGCGCCCATTCACCAAATTGGAAACGTTGTGGGAGGTCGTGTGGCTTCAATTCTTGCACCAGCCGTATCTTATAAAGTTTTACACCCAAACCCTGTCGCAAAATTTTCCACGTAGTGGAGCAACAGACGCCAAATTGCTGCGAACGGCGGCGAATCGACATTTCACGGTCATCACTAACACTGGCGGATACAGCCGCAATATTTTCTTCAGTCCTCACTCTACGTCTGCGTGTTGGTGGTTTAATGTCCAATAATGTAAACTGGGTTCGAAATTTAGTCATAAGCTTCCGAATAGCTCCCTCAGTAGGTCGACCAAATTGCCCATAAATTGGAAGCAGTGCTCTTAACCGAGCATGAATTTTGATAGTAAAATTCAATAATTTGCAAGCGTTGTTCGTTCGTAAGTCAAGTCATGGTTAAATTATAGACCAAACTGAACAAGTTTGACAATGACACAAGGCACGATTCACGCGTCATCTGTCAAAAACAGTGTTGCCAAAAAGATACTAGCAAAAAAATCACCCATTACTTTAGAAATTTCGCTTGGAAATACCTTGAAAATGATGTTGAATATGAATTGCATGACAAGCCTACAATGAGGCTGACTACCCTGTGGCTACTTTATTTGGCGACTAGCCCATATACAAGGTGTCCTGAATAAATTTCCCTTTTTAAACTCGAATAACTTGGCAACAGTGTAACTTAGCGCGGTCGGCGTAGCGTTCTTCGATAGTGCATCGCTGCGGATTATTTAGTAAATATGCAGCGTTGGTCTGGTGTGCACCATGCTTTGATTATCGAGGCATATTTCAAGAACAATTTGCAAGACGAAGGTTTTGTGCTCGCTCCAATATTATTGCGAAAACACAGTGGAAGCTGGTTTCTTGCTTACTGGCAACCAGCGCCGATCGGTACCGAATTTCGGCGCTGGTCATGGACACAGTGCTGACGAGAAAAAGGCAAATAAAACCGGCCTCTTGACGGTTCCCGCGTAGTCTTCACGTCAACCGAGGGTCTAGCTCATTGATTCCCAAAGTGGTCTATATCGACCCCTAGGGGTCTATGACAACCTGCAAGGGGTCTACGTCAGCGAAAAAAAATTTGGGGGTCGATGAAATGAGTACGGGGGTCCACGATAGTGGATCTCAACACATACACTGATAGTACCTATTTACTTACATCATACTATCTTATAATATCAAAACATATACATTATTTATAAAAGTACCTATGAAGTAAAAAATTTATTATATATGTTTATAAAATTGTGTACGTTGTAGGATGTTGGTATTCGCTTTGTGGTCGCAATACATTTTGAACTTGTAAAAACCTCAGAGCTTCGCTACCTTGCACTGACTTGTTCAATTCGTCACTCTATAAATACGGATGTGGGACAAATACGTTTATTCGTTTCCTGAATCTTGAAAAGGAAAGTGCTAAGAAAATATTTAAAAAAATATAAACAGATAGTATATCACACAAATTATAGTGGGTCAGTGTTATTTTGTTTGAGAGTGCTGGAGAAAAGTAAGTACATTATTTTTTATTAAATTTTAGTGTTGTACTCGTAGTTAGCAAAGATAGATAAATTACGCCAATCATGACTTTAGTTATTAGTAGTTAAATATTCAATCATGCAAAATTACACGAGTACTCCTCAATAGTTTCTTTTTGAAAGTTTTAGCAATCGGTAATATAATTACAGTGCAATCTCCGTAATTCGAGCTAATTGTTGCAAGATGTTCGAATTATGAAATGTTTTCGGAAAAATCAAAAATATTTTTAATATACAGCTGCTGGATTTTCTGTCTTATTTAGATAATTTAATTTTTCCCACAGATGACTGATGCCATGTTCGAATCTAAAAAGAAATGTAGATAGTACAGTGTTGATTATTTGAAATTTGGCTTCATTCCATCATTGCCGGACAAACAATCGCCTATGTGCCTTTTATGCAACAAAGTTTTGGGCAATGACGCTATGAAACTATCTAAACTGCAAGATCATTTGAGAAGATGCCACCATGATAAAACAGAGAAAGATTTGAAATACTTTCAAACACTCAAAGATAAATTTCAGAAGAGACCTACACTGGACAGAATGTTCGCTTCGACGTCACAAAGAAATGATGATGATTTGCGGGCGTCTTACAATATCTCGTTACTTATAGCAAAATCCGGAAAACCACATACTATCGGAGAGAAGTTAATTTTGCCAGCCGTTGAAGAGGTTTTAAAAACTGTTTTACACAAACCTGCATCTGATATCATTAAAAGAATTCCCTTAAGCAACAATACTGTTGAAAGACGTATTGATGAAATGAGTTCTGATATTGAAAGCTTCTTATGTAATTATTTGCAAACGACCCATTTCTCTATAAAACTGGACGAGTCAACTTTACCTGATAATGCAACATTATTATTGGCATATGTTCGCTTTATTATGAATCAAGAAATCTACGAAGAACTGCTCTTCGCAAGAACTTTGATAACCGACACTAAAGGTGAATCAATATTTCATGTTTTGAAGGATTACTTCATTGAAAAAGCAATTCCTTTATCAAATATAATATCAGTAGCTACAGATGGAGCACCTGCCATGGTTGGACGTTATCGTGGATTTATAAGCTATTTAAAACAAAATGTGTCAGGGGTGTTAGCAATACATTGCGTCATCCATCGACAACATTTAGTTGCTAAAAATTTGAGTGTTAGATTGCATGGATCACTTCATTTAGTCATTGATGCAGTAAACCGAATCCGAAGCAATGCATTGAATACGCGGTTATTTGCGCAGTTGTGTGAAGAAAATGACGAACACTTTCATCAATTACTCCTTCACACTGAAGTACGCTGGTTGTCGAAAGGCTTATGTTTGATAAGATTTTTTGCACCTTTTGAGACTATTTTAGAATTTCTGGATACTAAAGATAAAATGTTAAAAGAAAATTTAATGAAGATGAAAACAGACATCGCCTATTTAACAGATTTGTTTACAAAATTCAATATGGTTAATTTGCAATTACAAGGCGACAGTTTAAATTTGATTAAAACAAAGTCCATCTTATCAGCGTTTCTTGCCAGAGTTAAACTAATGAAGCAAAATATTGGACGGGGCGAATTTTCCCAGTTCCTCAATTTGTCACAGACAAGCTGCCAGGAAGACGACGTTTCAACTTACGTTCAACATTTAAATGCCCTCTATTCAGATTTTGAATCTAGGTTTGAGGATATTTTGACTATAGTAATACCACCGTGGATAATTAATCCATATGGTGACATTGAAGAAACGAATGTCATAATACAAGATTAACTGACTGACAAACGAAGAACTTAAGGTTCAGTTTAAAAACGGATATCAGCAATTCTGGCTGCAAAACAACATACCCGTTACTTATCCAGTATTATGGAATATAGCGAGGAAATTTTTCATTTCCTTTCCATCGTCATACCTAGTGGAAAGGGGGTTCAGCGCTGTTACCAATCCCCTAACGAAAAAAAGAAACAGACTGGACATCATTATCCGAGGAGATTTAAGATTAACCCTTACAAAATTGACGCCAAATGTTGATAATTTATTATTAAAGGATCAGGTTCATCCTTCTCACTAAAAATATTGACTTATTGCTTATGTTATTTTATTTATAGTTTATTTTATGTTTATTGGTGTCTGACCAATAAATGCCCGCATTGGGAATAAGTGCCCGCATTGATTTTTTTAAAGAACTCCCCTTTATAGAAAATACTTTTTTTTTAAATTATTCTGAAAATTCAAGGATAGGTACACACTTAAAGTCGTTAATTTTTTGCCTATTTTTAGATAACTTAAACGTATAAGAAGCGGAATTTAATCAAACTAACAGTGAAATTATTGTAGAACATACGTTTATGTTATAATTAATAAACGAACTCGCTTATTGTACTATTTTAAGTAAAAAACTTTTTTTTTATTATTTTTCACTTTTTTTTTATTTTATCCCTCTTATTTTTTTTTCAATGCGGGCACTTATTGCCAATGCGGGCACTTATTGGTCAGACACCTGTTTATTTAATGTTACGTATATTTTACATAACAGATACAAAATTTTATTTTGAGTAGTTTTAATTTAAATTCATTTAATAAATGTATAAATTAACATGTTTTTACTTTAAGTTTTTAACACTAAACTTCACTACAGTTAGAAATTTACAGGAAATCAATATCAGGTAAGTAGGGGGTCTACCCAACACGGAAAAACATGGCAAGGGGTCTACGACACAAAAAAGTTTGCGGAACTCTGGTCTAGCTCATCTGAAGATGAATTTATTACATTGGACAACTCTGTAACTAAAATCATCACTAGAAAGAAAGTTGGTATTCACCCCATAAATCGTGAGAGGGTACATTATGGTAAATATCATCATTTGTTGAAGGCGTTGAAAAATGACTCCGACCGCTTTTTTCAGTATTTATTTCCAACATTTGTCAACTACATTTCTGTTACTGTGTTATTTTTTTTATACCATATGGGGCATTGTTTATATATTGATGCGATTAACTTGTCTATATCCATTAATACAACCTGCTCTGACAACCGGCGAGAAAGAATCAAATCCGTTCCGGCAAAAGCGGTAACGCCGACTGGCTGCGCCGACAAGCCTGAGCCTGCCTCTATTGTGTTATTGCCAACTCAAGAGCATGATATTATTATAGAAGCTTATAGTCCCAGGTCTATGCGGTGAAGGAAGAATAATCTCTCTCGTCCGGATCCGCACGTGTATTACGTATCTTGAGAAGTTATGTCGATTCTTTTTGACATTGTATTGGGTTTTTGTGACATTATGTAGGTTTTACTACAATATGTTTACCTAGCACTAGGTGATGAACACGTTGTGAACTCATTTTGTAGTTGTACGTGCTGCCTAAACCTACTTGATACTTTTACATTAATACAGACATCAACTACCATGAAGCGCCAGAAGTTCACAGTTAAATTCAGCCTTGGTCGTCTAACTTAACATAATGCGCCCTAATAAAATGTAGGGCGTAATGTACGATTAATAAAACATCAGTGCTAAACGAGTATAATTTCGCGAATATCCTATTTCAGGAGCGTGCAGATATCCAAACTAATTTAAATGCAACACAGAGATTTGCAAACAACTTCATCTGCAGCTATAAATGAGTTTATCACTTCATGCACAGTGGACGAGTTGTCGTTGGTGCCAAGGTAAACTTTTATAACGGTTTTTCAGATTAATTGCTCAATTAAGAGAGAATAAATTGTTCAGCTCGGTATTCATTATGAAAATACGTTTTGAAGAACACGGCCTTAGCCTGTTATGGGGACCAACGGATTCGAATAGATTAGTAGGCAAGCCTATATGTTTATGATTTACATTGATCCGAAATTTTTTGATAAAATTGTGATTGTGAATTTAATAGTGCGAGTGTTATAATCTAGTTATTTGAATGTGTTGATTTCCCATGTGAAGATTGTTCAGCTCGAATTTTCTGCATTTGATTTCAATGGGTCAATCGTAAACATAGCATATCGAGTAAGTCACAACATTCCTTTGACCCAGTGGTGTAACATAATCGGATCTTCTTCAAATTATCTTTACTTGACGCATATCTGTAAAAGGGTGGGAATCAAAGCAAACAAGCAATAATAGCTAGCACAATGTCTAAGGTTCTCACAAGATCCAATGTTCGCAACTTAAAGGCAAATAGACCAACGAAAACACCATCAACTTCTCAATTGACAAAAGGAGCATCATCTTCTGCTAATACGAGTTATATAAGTATAAAGTGTGACTGTGATTCTGATGATAATCAGGATATGTCTAATAATATTATTGATAACCTTAGAAATAAACTCGCACAGCAGCAGGCCATAAACGAAGACATAATGGAGAAAAACGCAAGTATGTTGGAAGAAATTAAAGAACTGAAACTAAAGCTATCCAATAAAAATGAAATAATAAGTACTCTACAAAAAACTCTCGATAATTTATCAGTGAACAAACAACTGTTTCATACATAGACGCAAACCGATATATCTGAAGCTGGTATAAAATTCATGGAGGATAAAGTAGCAGATGTAAAGAAGAGAAACGGAGAATTGAATCAAGAAATCAGCAGACAAATTGAACAAATTGAGCAACTGAATCAAATAATGGAACTGAATCAAGGAATAGATGGAAAAACATTAAATATTGAAAGTGCCTAGGATGTTGATAACGTATCCATAAAACAAAAAGGACAAAGGAGCGGAGAAAAACATGTTGCAGAAGAATACTCTACAGAAGTTTCAAATAATGATGACGCAATGCATGACAACAGTTTGTTGGAACGGGAGGCAATTCTACTTGAAGCAGTTACAGAAAATATAAGCTTAGTTAATGCCAGTGAAGTTTTGCCCGTGCAAGCTAGTCAAATCCATAAAACAGATAAGAAACGCAAAGTACTAATTATCGGTGATGAGTTTGCGAAAAGCGGTTCCATACTGTTGCAATCAATGTTATCTAATCGAGACATAATTATAGAAGGTGTAGTAAAGCCTGACTTAGAGTTTTCGGAGTTAGCTAAGTCATTGTTCCACTACTCGCAACAGTATGGTAAACATGACCTTATTATTGTTATGGTGAGCTCTATGAATATATCCAACTTTAAGCAATTACATTTTGCTTTGAGGCATTTGCTTCCACTTAGTAAGCTAACTAATTTATTTATCATGACGGATCGCAGTCATGTTGAGGATGTTAGGGTAGAAAACTACTTAAGTAGGGCAGTAGCCAGATTCATGAATACGAATACCAATATATCACTCAAATTTAAGACTAACGTGTCTAACCCGATAGCAGTACTCAAAATGGTAGCAAACGAATTTATGAAGTACACTAATCACACAAATATTGTATTGAGAGTAATTGATACAACCCCCTCATCGAAGTGCAAGCTTTTTCTTTGATAGAGCGCCAAATAATCAATGTAGTGAACAAGTCAATGAAAATGGTTGTATTTTTAATGGAAATAACTCAAATAGTTTAAAAATAATTCATCAAAATGTGCAATGCCTTAGTAACAAACTACTTGAGCTTGAAGTGTTTCTAAATGAAAATAACTGTGATATATTTTGTGTTTCTGAGCACTGGGCAAATTCTGACCAAATTATGTCTTTATATATACACGAGTACATTTTAGCAACTTCATACTGTAGAAAGCTTTTTCATCATGGCGGGACATGTATATACCTCACAGCAGGACTAGAATAGAATAATCTAGACTATTTGAATGATATTTCAGTTGATAAGCATTTCGAATGTAGTGGAATTCAAGTTATAACCGAAAACCTCAATTCGGTTATTGTTTCTCTGTATAGAAGTCCTGATGCCGATTTTAAAATTTTTTTAGAAAAACTTGAAGACCTTTTAAATATTTTAAACATTAAATGTAAAAATGTGGTATTGTCCTTTGTGGTGATTTTAACATAAATTTTAACAAAAACTCTTTAGATTTAAATTGTCTGTTGGATGTTTTAAGCTCATATTCACTGAAGCCTGTTATCAAACAACCTACGCGAGGATCTAATTGCATAGACAATATTTGTGTAGGGGTGGATGTAAAGTGTGATACTGCTGTAGTAAACAATAATGTTAGCGATCATTTTGCTCAATTATTAACTCTATACTATCAAAAAGATGAACAGCCACCTCAGATTTCATACCAGTACCAAGACCTGTATAATAAATCCAACATCAACAATTTTTTAGCTCTCCTAGGTCAAGAAACCTGAGACCACATTTATCATTCCACTGGGGATATTAATGCGAAGTTTGTTTTATTCCTACAAACGTTTCAGTATTACGTTGACATAGCATTCCCAGTTATAACCAAAACCGTAAAAGCAAGAGCCAGAAAACGATGGATTACAAAAGGTATCCTAATATCAAGAGATAAGCTTCACTATCTATATAATTTGTCTAAAACGGGAGACGTATTTCTTATAGAGTTCTATAAAAAATATAAAAAGGTATATGCCAGAGTTTTAAGAGCAGCTAAGCGACTACATTACAACAAAATTATACTAAATGCAAAAAATAAAACAAAAAGTGCTTGGAATGTAATAAACGAAAACAGAAACACACCTAAGCACGAAATCATCAACTTAAACATAGAAAATAAAATAATAACCGAACCAAAAGAGATATATGTACATATATGCACGATGAAAACTGCCGGGAAATATTCAGAAGACTTAAAATAATGACAGTATTTCTTTCAGAATTTAATACAAGTGAGGAGAAACTTGTGTGATTACTGCACTCTAT